TGGATAACTGGGTCTCGCTGGTGGAGAAGCTTCCACTTGGGAAAATCCAACGCTTGAATGACTGGGTCTCGCTGGTGGGAAAAAGCGTTTACTCGGCGAAATTCAATGCTTTGGATAACTGGGTCTCGCTGGTGGAGAAGCTTCCACTTGGAAAAATCCAACGCTTGAATGACTGGGTCTCGCTGGTGGGAAAAAGCGTTTACTCGGCGAAATTCAATGCTTTGGGTAACTGGGTCTCGGTGGTGGAGATGAGCTTCCACTTGGGAAGATTCAACGCTTCGGATAGGGTCTTGCTGGTGAAGGGAAGCGTTTACTCGGCGAAATTCAATGCTTTGGGTAAGTGGGTCTCGCTGATGGAGATGAGCTTCGACTTGGAAAAATCACGCTTGAATGACTGGGTCTCGTTGGTGAAGGAAAACGGCGCTTCGGGTGGATAACGATCTCACTGAATGAGCTTCCACTTGGGGAAATTCAACGCTTCAGTAAGCGCTCTCGATGGTGGAGGAAAGCGTTTACTCGGCGAAATTCAATGCTTTGGATAACTGGGTCTCGCTGGTGGAGATGAGCTTCCACTTGGGAAAATCCAACGCTTGAATGACTGGGTCTCGCTGGTGGGAAAAAGCGTTTACTCGGCGAAATTCAATGCTTTGGATAACTGGGTCTCGCTGGTGGAGAAGCTTCCACTTGGAAAAATCCAACGCTTGAATGACTGGGTCTCGCTAGTGGAGGAAAGGGTTCACTTGTGGAAATTTGACGCTTTGGGTAACTGGGTTTTGCTGGTGGAGATGGGCCTTCACATAGGAAAATCCACGATTAAAGTACTGGGGCTCGTTGTGGAGGACAACTTTTACTCAGGTTATGGTTTTCCGTGTGGAAGAAAAAGCTTTTAGAGGATTCCGCTGGTGAAGATTAGTTTTTATTTGAGGAAATCCCACTAGCGGTAACTGGGTCTTCTTTTGAAAACGAGCTTTTACTTGGGGTTATATAGTGGGTCTGGCTGGCGCGCTGGTGGAAATGTGCTTTTGCTAGGTAAAGCATGTCTTATCCTGTAGGAAAGGCGGTTGGAAACGAGCGCTTATTTAGAAAAATCTGCTTTTCTTTGAAGAAAGTAAAGCATTCAAGTAAGTGTGTCTCGCTGGTGGAGATGAGCGTTCATTTGAAAGGTCTTCCTGTTTTAAGGAAAGCTTGATGATTGGGTCTGGCTGGTGGAGGCTTTCTGTAAAGGATTATAGCGGGTAACGTTTTCGTACATAATTGGCAAAATTTGATCGATGATCGAAGGGCATTTATCGAAAAAAAATTTTTGTGTAAGGATAACATAAGAGTAACAGGGTCTCGTTGTTCGGTGGCGGCTGACTTTTCAGATAGGTCACTACGGGGGTGACTTGGTGTTGCCTTATCGCAAAACCTATAGAAAAAATTGTTCTGAGCGCGCTCACTTGAGGAAATTCTGTTCTTTCTTGTTTAAAGCGAAGCGCGTGAGTGAGGATCTCATTGATGGAGGTCATGCTTTCGAGCGAGAGGAATCTTTTCGGGAAGTGCGTTCATTTCACAGGCTCCAAAATCTCATCAAAAATCTGCTTTGTAGACGTTTTCGTGGGGTAACCTCACCTATAGTTGTAGAAAAGCGAGTTATTGACGAGTCCCGCAAAATGAAAAGGCTCAAAGTTTAGGGTAGAGTATCAGTCCAAAAAACTTTTTCAGATGTTTCCACCCGATAAAGAATCTACCTTGGAGCAAATTTAATGATTCGGCGGAAATTTTTTTCAAGTAAAATAAAATTCAGGAAGATGTCATTGAGATGCACAAGTTTTCGAAACATGTGCTTCGATCCACTTATAGCGACCCGCAGGGTCGCTAGTAATATAATAATACAAGTTTAAACATGTGGTAGCGTCCAGCAAATGAGTTAGCAGGTGAGCAGTTCGCGGGAGTCAGAAACAACTTACAACCTCGCAGTTTTGCCCCACACAGTGTGCATCACACAGATATCCCATACATTGTTAAGTGCATGCCTTGGCCTTAATACAAACAGTTTCACTTCAAGCAAATTGAATCTCTCAACTACTATTTTAAATCTCCTAAAGTTTTCCGGTCCTGATATCAGCTACCTGTGTTGTCTTCTTTATCCAAACGTGATTCTGTTCAAAAACTCAGATCTACTGAAAAGCATCAATCTTATTTAAGCTTATTGCTAGCTTTGACTTTGCATTGTTTTCGTGTCAACTCCTTTGCTCTGAAACACACTGAATCTGTAAAGCGTTTGACTAAGCAGCATGAAAATGGACTCGGTTCCAATTTTGACTTTATCGAGTTGCGATACTTTTCCAAGCTAGAAGTTTTTGTGCAAAAAATTAGATTTATTTAAAAAGAAATCGTTTTAAACCTGTTCATAATTTCAGTTGCATTGTCTTTATGTCAAAAACGGTTGACCCAAGCACACTAGGTGCGAATATGTCTAAACTACTCATGACACCCTGATTTTGGTGCTTCCCCGTTCAAAAAAAAAACAAGGATAACTCTTGCATGTTTATGGAGGATTCCAAATTTCCTGAATAGCTTTTTTTCTGTTGCATGCGCAGCTGCAGTTTTTTATGCTAGATTTCATCGACACCAAAAACCTCATGGAAAACTTGGTTTGCGTCCATTTCCTATCTATACTCAGCATTTTGCCTAACTCTCATGAAAAATCTTCGTTGTAGAATAACACTGATCACCATTGCCGGCGCGCATGTTTACCTTTTCAGGGGTTCAAAGAACACAAGACAGTTCTAAAATTTTCTTTGAAAGGTCAAAAAAGGGATAGTCAGAATATCACGAGATTTACAAACAATAATTCACGACGTCGCACAGCCAGGTCAACATTTGCCTCATACAGTGTGCATCACACAGACATCAACCATGCATCATGCGCATGCTCTGGTCTCCATTTATGGCAACAGTTTTACTTTCACTTTACGCATCCCGAAGTGATAATCGACTTGAATCTCTAGATCTACTGCTACCTACATCTTCCAAAGTTCCTGTCCTGATATTTGCTACGTGTTCGTCTTCTATATCCAAACGTGATTCTGTTTTGAAAAAACTCAGATTTACTGGAAGTCATCAATTTTATACTTGAAATCTCTTCCTTCCGCATTGCTTTGAAGTCACCTTTGCTCAGAAACATTTTGAATCTATTAAAAGCTTCTGAATGTGCCGCATTATAGAACGGATTCCATTCTACTTAAAGGCAGCGTCCACCCAGATTTTGGTCCCCCATGTTTCCGTCATTCTGGGGCCTTTCCGTGGTCCTGATTACAGTTCCGAACTTCAAACTCTCTAAAATTCACAAAAACCCGATTCTTGGGGACCCAGTCTTGAGGGCGAGGACGAGTTTCGAATTGCTCGTCCCCGTCGGCAGGCCAGCGGGAAGGAGCTGCATCTGCATGGGTGCAGTTGCATTGCAGTGTGCAGTGTGCAGCTTCTGCTCGCTACCTTGTCAATACGTGTCGGGAGGCACGTATTGACAAGGTAGTGAGCAGTCCCTGGTGGGCGGAGTCTGATATCAGACTCCGCCCAGCCAGGGACTTTCAGGCCTCTTATCTCCATTCAGAGACAACGTTAGAAGACCGGACCAACGCAGATGCCCCTTTTCTGGGGCCTACATTCAGGACCGACACTAATCGGAGGGGGTTAGGTTTAGCCTGCTCACTGCCTTTAAGTTTATTGAGTTGCGCTGTTTTTGAAGCCTTTGTGCAAGGATGTAGACCTATTTTTGAAAAATCGTACCAAAACTATCTATACTAATTTCAGCCGCACTGTCTGTCTGTCAAAAACGCACCAAATACTCTGGGACTGTCGTGCGAATATGTAAAAAAAACTCATGGTAACACTGCTTTTTGATGATTTTTACGTTCGTAAGAAGAAATGAGAACCACTCTAACATTTTATGGAGAGTTCCAATCGTTCTTAGTAGCTTTTTTTTATTGCTCGCGCAGTTGCGGTCTTTTTGTGCTGGATCTCATCGACGTCGTAAACCATCTTTACAAAATCGAAATAACCGATGGTCATATCGTGATATGCGAGTTTCGCTGATTATCAACAAATTGTGGTACATGACGCATAGAAAACAAAGCAAAGCTAGCATAACAGTCAAAATTATTCAAAAGTTCTAGATGCAGATAAAGCAGTGGCTAGTCTGGTAGATACTTACTTTATGGCTATCACTTGAAGACTGCCTTGATAACCACATTTTTCACCTGTTCCTGTGCTTTCTGCACTTTGATGTCTTCTTTCCTTCGAGCTCGCAATAAAGCCACATAAAGTTGCCCATGCGAGAACACCTCCGTATCAAGAAAAAGACCCATGTTCGTCAAACTCTGCCCTTGTGCTTTGTTTATTCATTGCAAATGACAAACGAATAAGAAAGTGCCTCCTTCGCAATCAAAATGGAACCCCTTTGTCAGTGTATTATCTATACGTAAAATTGTCAAGAAATCCCATTTTCGGTCACCGGATGCAAACCTGCAACCTAGAACGAGGTGGCCGAAATGTGCAACTATCAATCTGGTACCATTGCAAAACCATTCTGAACGTTGAGATTCCGCAAAAGCATAATTATCGATCCTTCCTTCAGCCTAAGTCTATGAGGAGGTAATCCAGCTGGAGGGTTATCCAGAAACTCTGTGCTACATTGGCTTGTTCCCGACTCATCACTCATCACATCATCAGCACTTAAGTATTCATGCAGTTGGCCTGGAAGTTTATTTAAGGCTTCTTCATTAATCCTATTGCTTCGAGTTTCTTGGCGCCAGTATCGTACGTTCGCTAAGTGTTTTAAAGTCTGTCAGGAGGGAATAGGGATGGAACCTTTAGTGTTTGACGGGCCGGGTAAGCCAGCTATTAATTTGTAATAAAAGAAAACTGCCGAAAAGATACTGCGATTTTGTGTAAACGTCAAATGACCGCTCGTAGAAGTGCAGAAAATGCTTTGCAAATAAACGCAATTTTGTAAAAACCTGACAAAATCCTCTAATTTTCCTGGATAAGCGAGGGCGTCACGCAATTCCATGCATGCAGCTAGTGTTTGCCAAGGTTCTTCAGATTTTAGCCACCATCCACAACCTGAAAAGTGACCCACATTTCAATAACAAGGTAATTCTCGCTAAAATGGTTTTTTTCTTGCTAAATGTCACCACAAAGCCAACGATACGTGGTCCACAGTTTAGCAATTATCTTATGTAATTTCCTCACATGATACCTGCAGAAGGGTTAATCGGTGATATGAGAGTCACTGCCATGCTCACAGAAACATTGAAAACAGGAAAATGTGATATAAAAACAATGCAAAAGATGGGAAGAAGCGTCTGCCATTGATACCGTAACCGACGCGAGCGCGTTTTATGATTTTTTGTAGTTTTGTTTGCGTCAAAATGCGTTTACCGCCTTCGCTTAAAGGAGCTTGCAAATCAAACAGATCACAATCTGATCGAAAGAAGTCAATTCAATTACATTTAGTCAGATTGAATTGGTTTTATTAGCGAAGCTTTTCTATTATCAGTGCCAAGACGCTGAAAATCTTAAGAGATATTGTCAAAGAGTATAGAAAGTCAATATATTCCGCAGAAGATAGTTGGCCTATAAGGAAAGTCAAACAGCCATACGCGATACGCGATGCTATTTCACCACATTTGGCTTTAAGTATAGAACTGACGCATTACTTTTACTTGAGGAGTAACTACGTCGCACCAAGGGGGAGGAGTGGGAGGGGGGGGGGGGGGGGGGGGAACCGCTTTCGCTTTCGCAGTTACGGGTCCGCAAAACCTTGTGAAGACACCCAAAAAATTCAGAGTGTGTGTTTGATGCGATACATTTTCATTCAAAAATTCTCCTCCTCTCCCCCTCCCCCCGAACGAAATTCCTAGAACCGCCATGAGGAGTAAAACGTACCGCTAAGTGGATTATTGGCTGAGTCAATCATATCATCTAGTGCTCGATCTGCTTCTGTCAATCGATCTGCGATACTGCTCCTTTTCATCTTCCCTGTGAGATTAATACAGTGTAGTTTCAACCAGTAGAATCCGCGGTCTCCTAGCGGCTTTCCTAGAATTTTTTTTCTGTTGACGACATGATAATGCAAGAAAAACTGATGTAATTATACCAAATCTATGCATTTTACATTTACTAGGCTTGCTTGTAATTTGCGCTTGAAAAACGGAACAGTTTTCCTACCACCGCCATAGTCTCTAAAGGCAATGATCTAATCTTTGCTAGCAACTCTCTTTCATGACGATTACCTATCCGCGTTAGGCGAGATGTGTTCTCTGAAGGCGACTGATATAAGAAAACATGCAAGGGCTCTTTTCTAAATCTAACTCCAGAGTCGGCACGATTTAATTCCCCAAGTCCCTTTTTCTAACGATATTTCCATTGTCGGCGGGTGGTGATGATGACTGCCGGTAGGATATATAGAAGAAGATGAAAACGTTCAGTATTAATATTGTGTAAGTGAAGTCTAGTAATGAGCAACGAAAGGTAGGCGTTGATTACGACATAAAAGTACTCTCCAGTAATTTACTCTTGATCAGGCAGCTCAAGGGCCTGATACATCAAACGATTTATGGTTATCCGCAACTAGTCGTATTGTAAAACTGTCACAATCAAAATGCAAGATGGTCTGATTGGCATGCAATGAACTGGTGACAACTGTCTGGTTGGGCGAATCTCGAGGCGTTGAAATCGCATGATGTATGCCATATGCCCGACCTTTTAGTATAGGTCTGTTATTTGTAAATGAATTCTTGTGCAAACCTGTTACGACCACAATCGCTCGAAGGCTGAAGCTTAAGAATAACAGAATGCAACAGTGTGTATTGTGGTGAATCCCTGGTCCGGGCATTTCAGATTTTTCCGGAGCGTAAAAACCTTTTAGACATTCGCAATGCCTCACAACGAGTCTGACTATGAATCCAGTCATCCATACCCAAATTTGAGGGCTGAGAAAACCCATTTCAGCGCTTCCGGTGCATTTGAGAGAGAGAGAGGGAAAGAGAGAAAGAGAGAGAGAAAGAGAGAAAGAGAGAAAGAGAGAGAGAGAAAGAGAGAGAGAAAGAAAGACAGAGAAAGAAAGAGAGAGAGAAAGAAAGAGAGAAAGAGAGAGAGAGAAAGAGAGAAAGAGAGAAAGAGAGAAAGAGAGAAGAGAGAGAGAAAGAGAGAGAAAGAGAGAAAGAGAGAAGGAGAAAAAGAAAGAAAGGGAGAAAGAGAGAAAGAGAGAAGGAGAGAAAGAGAAAAAGAGAGAAAGGGAGAGAGAAAAAGAGAGAGAGAGTGTGTGTGCGACAGAATCCACGTAAGCAAAAAAAAAATCGAAGTCTAGGTTTTGCCCGAGAACTGCTTGAGTTTGCATCAACAAAAAAAAACTTTTCTGACAAAAACTACAAGCCTTTTCTCCTTTCCCTAGCTGTAATCCCATTTCCAGTCATTAGAAAGCTTCATACGGGAAACGGACCTTTTGAACCGCTCACCATCGTGGCGCGCCTCTGATTGGTCAGCATGCCACGCCATGTCTGCCATAACGAGTTAATACTCGTTCATTTTTGTACATATTTCGTGTCTAACATGATGACAGGTTTTGGCACAGTTATATTACATGCTTCAAACTAAGAATTTTCCCCGTTGACTGTAAATGCGACCTGTTAGCTTCGCCAGCGGCGCACATGCGGCGAAAGAACATCGCACGCGAAGGGTTGAAAAGGGCCTACCCTTCATACAGCTACATCAATAGACCCATAGTGGGTCTTATGCGTCCTGCCATTTCGGAAACTACTACCTACCGGTGTGTCATATTTCTTTAAGTTATAAGTTTCCAGTCGCGATGAAACTACATGGGATTTTAACACTCGTTTGAAGACACCTTAGGCAATGCTCCAAGCAGCCTGGTTCGGGGTGGGGATACTTTGTAATAATACCGTATCGTACACAGAGACTAGGCATATAAATTAGTTGGTACTTTTCCATTATCCGGACCCATTTCTTTGAAGGGCTCTCACAAAATTCGCTATTTAGTTTAAGAACACTTTTTTATAGCTTCTATGAGGACTTCTCCCCAGGGCTCGGCCCAAGGTGGCTTACAAGCAAGCTGGATATCGTTTTTGGGACGAAAAGCAAAGGGGGTTTCGTTTTTGTGACCGAAGAAACACGCAAAATTGGCGATTTGGTGACGTTTTTTGGGGATTTTCTTAGATTTTTAGAGGAAATGTGGTTGAGGGTCAAAGAGAACTTCGTAAAAATTCTCAAAAGTCAAGGGGGACTTCGTTTTTTGCATTTTCATCTAGCCACCTCGTGCCGAGCCCTGAGCCTCCCTGCCACGTGTCAAGAAAAAATTGACATGTTTTGGTCCAGTTGGACACGTTCTTTGAAATTTTCCGGTAAGTTAAAAGAGCATTTGTAGTCACCTGAAAGCTGTTTAATTGTCTTCTATAAAAAAAAATCAATTTGGAACTCATATTAGAACATTATGTTGCAAATCTGGCGCAATTCTCTATTCTGGGCAAGCCCAATCTGTTCATTGATAATAGCATAACGTTATTATCATAATAGTGTCCATTTGAAGTTGTTTAATCGAAATTGGTGTCATTATCGGCTGAAAGACAACCGAATTAACGTCACTAGGTAGGGCAACACAAACTCATAATAAAAACTGCTAAATATGTATCGTTCATTCGTTGACCGTACGGACTGCCGACCGCGTGGCGACTGCGACGCGTGCCTTCTAAACTTGCGAAAAAGTGACAAGTTGGACCGTGGCTTAAGATGAGAAGAATTCTTTGTTTCTTTTCTACATTATAAAGATGAGAAGAATTCTCTGTTTTCTTTCTATTCATCTTTTCTACGAAAACATCATGCACGCGCAGCGGTCGCCGCGCGGTCAGCAGTCGTTACGGTCAACGAATAAACGATAGATATATGTCAAATTTTTTTGACACGTGGCAGAAGGTTGCACTCCTTCCTGTGAAGTTGGGACCAAATCTGGTACGAGGAAAGAAGCAATATCCTTGTTTGAAAAATGGGTCCGGATAACGGAAAAGTACCAATTAGTTCAGACTATTCAGCGAACAAAGCGATTTTCTCAGAAAGTCAAGTATTATCGTATATCGTGCAGGTCGCCCCGTATCTCGTGCACATACACAGGGTACACGGGAAGATCAAGAGACTCAAGCTAAGTCATTCAAAAATTTGGAAATTCATTAATGGTCTTTTTTCGTTCTTCACTATAAGAAGCCAAATTATGAAGGCTTTTAGAAAGGCGGTTACGAATATGATAGTTCTAAGATCTACTCTCACGACAAAAGTATCCTAATTTTGAGAAAATTTCTTGTTAGTACAATCGTAGCTCCATCTAGGATCCCAGCGAACAAAACGACTGCCACATGTATGATCAACACATAAAACAATCCCAAACAATTTTTACAAGAAACCTATGATGTTGGCTTCCTACCAGATGATTACCCTCAATTTACGTATGTATGCGGTCGCAGGATTTCCGTCGGGAAGGTGCGTGGCGTGAGCCACGCCTCCGAAAAATTTTTAAGGGTGCTTCTCGATATTTCGGCGGGTTCACGATCTATAAAATCTAGAAAAAGTGGGCGTGGTGGCAATACGCATGTAAGTAACTTTTAAAAATTTCGCGACCCATACTTGAGGAGGGGGGCCGCCTCCCACCCTCGGTCCGCCACTGAATGTATGACTCCAAAATTCGCGTTGAATGTTATTTTTATCATCAGCGCCATCGACTACCCTCTGAGCAAACTTTCATATAACATTTTGTGAAATTTTCATAGAAAGACTAAGATTTCGGATCATATGATTCATGGAGGTCGTAATCTCATTGCAAATTGCGCTTGAAATCGAACGGCCGAAAACGAAAAAAAGGCGGTGGGTAAGAGAGCATGGAAAAACCCGGCAACTCAGAAAAAGCACTAAAGAAACCTTTAGCAAACTTCAGCAAACAGCGATTGACATCATCTCCCATATGGCTTAGATATGGTGATATCGGGTAAACTCGTCCACGGAAATCCATGTTATGTGGAAAGTAAAGCGTTTTTTTGCGGAAATGATTCGCCAGCACTATCCGGTATTTCATCCAATACCAAAGAGAGTTCAGCTCGTTTCTGTAAAAATTACAGATTGCGATCATACATGCTTATGTAAAGGCAATAAAAGTATAGCTAAAGATAGAAAACCTACTTTTTCTTGATGGCTTCTGCTTTTTTTGTAATATATCCTGCATATGGGTGCCCGTCTGTGCCGTTCGACTGCCAATCCCCACCAGAGAAGTCCTGAAGGAGATTGAAACAAATATTCATTCATCTCGGCTTGTAAACAGTTGACAATGCAATCATCTACAGGGTGTCCTAAAACAATCTAACAAACGGATTTTTGATAACGTCCCGTAAAAGTTTCGCTTTCCTTTTAACAATATTAAGTAGATTTGCATTATCGAGCAAATCACTCGTTGCTCTTCATTACTGTAAGATTACGGTAGGAATTCTGAAGAGAGGTTTGAGCCATTAACGGCCCTGTTCCGCCTCAGAAAGCAAACCAAACAACCTGAAAACTCTTACACATGCTAGACAGAGCCGCACTAGATATGAGCTTCTCACTTTACCGCATGCTCCGTTTATAAGTCATGCCAAGTAGAGAGCAATAGCTGTTGCTCCCTAAAACTGTGATTACACCATTTGAAGACTTTACAAACTCTTGAAAAGTTGAGTAATTGAATCAGCGAGCGCAAAAATTGTGGTGCACAACTTTTCAAATCTTTTGAAGTTTTTTTTGAAACAAAGATAATCCACAATGACGCTGTAAGCCGGAACTACCGCAATGTTATAGTAATGAAGGGCGATCGATGTTTTGCTCCATACTGTTTCATTTTCAGAGGTTATATCACACAATCACAAATTCGCTGGTTATACAAGAATCATTTCAGCAATTGCACCTAAAAGCTCTTGCGTTCTTCTTTACCCAAAACATTTGATTATTCGTTCTAAAATCGTACTGAGTTTGATAACAGAAAGAAGCAATAAAAGTAACCCTAGCGGCTAGTCCGCTGCTGAAGCATGAAGCGGCGTGGCCTAACGTGCACCGCTAATTGAAAGGTGCGAAGCCTTTCTCGGCTGGGTACCGCCTTCCCTCTTGTGATAATGGGAAGGGGACAGGGAAATGTTATACTTAGAACTGCCACAAGCTTAAAATCTTGATGTTATTTGGCACCTTGAATTCAGGAACTTTCACAGTATCAGCTCTCAGAGGAACTGATAGTATGTCGAGCAACTTGTTCTTGGAAACGTCCGATGACATGTCGAAAATCTGAAAGGTACTGGTTACATTAAAATCTTGAAGATGAGCCTGTTTCACTAATTAGAGGGACAGAGGACATTTTGATGCTCAAGGATGGAATCCTGAATGCGATCAACGAATCTCAATAATTACAAATTGTGAATGCCGTGCACGATTTTGAAAGAATCGAGCAACGCTTTCGTTGAACAGAAGCAGGGTCAAGCAGGCTATAGCACGTCCTGAACATGATCAGTCATATTCAGCCCATTTTTCAATTTCTAATCATATTTCCCATGCTGCCCTCAAGATGTCAAAGAGCATTCAGGCAAACTGGACACATACGGATCGCACACGGGGAACTAATTTAGGCCTGAATAAAACACTGCCAAAAGTGGCGCAGATGGTGCATCCACTCAGATACCTTCTAGACCTCTTTTCCAGCTCTTTGAGAAACCTGCTTTCATAAGCGGAAGTGAGTGCTCGGTTAGCTACCGATGAAGACATAGTCGCTAGTCTTGTCCTAGTCATTGGAGCAAATTTTTTGCTGCTCAAAGGGGATGGTCAGAAGTCGAAGTGGCCAATCCAAGCAAGCTGCATACCATTCGATGCAGCATTCAACGCTGGTTTCAAATCTGTACTCCATATCTGCTTACCGCCTTTGTGGACGAAGTTGTAATCAGTTTTATTGCGAAAAAATCTTACATAAAAATTGCGAAACTAACAAGGGAAGGATACTCGGTCGAAGTGGCCATTTGAAATGAGCTGTATATTAGGAAACCGTCCTCTGTAAGGCAAACTCAAAACTACTTTCGCTAGGTGCCGAGCGGTTTTGTGGGTGGAGTTACAAGGCCATTTTCCTCCGGCGCAGCTGGTGCACCCAGTGATGAGCGAGGCGCTAGAATAAGGCAGCAGTGTAGCAGTGGCGCAGTGGCAGCGCAGCGGACTACGAAGCAGATGGTCGAGGGTTCGAGCCCTGTTGCTGCTGTTTTGTTTTGCAGTTCTGTAAAAAGTCTATTGGGTGACAGCAAACGAGAAATACTATTTCTAGGCAGTCGAAACAAGCTGGTTACTGCAAAAAAGCCACTATTTCTGCAATAAGCTATAATCTTCTAAAATATGCAAATCTGTGGAGGTTATGATGTCACAACAAGGGATTCAAGTGATATTTTAACATGTAAATACAATCACAAAATGCTCAAAGTAGAAGAGCTTCTCGCAGCGCGCACATCGGATAAAATAAAATAATGACAATCAGCAGCTTTACAATTGCCTATCAAAGTCGGTGAAAAACAGTACTGAATAGGAGACTCGAATTCGCCGGGGGGTTGTCAATGTATCCGGCTGCATCCATGGGTATGAAAGCAAATTTTTGAATCGAGCAAAATTGTGTGTAAATGAGCAATAAGATCTTTAGGATGGAATCCCTATGATGCAAGGTAAAGTTCAGATCAAGAGCCAATAAATGGGATGTGAATCGATTGCAATTTTGCTAGTGCGCGCGTTGCGAGAAGCTCTTCTGCTTTGAGCATTTTGTGGTTGTATTCCATACATGTTAATATATCATTTGAACCCATTGCTGTGACATCATAACCTCCACAGATTTACATACTGTAAGAGATTATGGCTTATTGTAGAATTAGTGACTTTTTTTGCAGTAAATAGCTTGTTTGAACTGCCTAGAACTAGTATTTCTCGTTTGCTGTCACCCAATAGACTTTTTACAGAACTGCAAAACAAAATAGCAGCAACAGGGCTCGAACCCTCGACCATCTGCTTCGCAGTCCGCTGCGTTGCCACTGCGCCACTGCCACACTGCTGCGTTATTCTAGCGCCTCGCTCATCACTGGGTGCACCAGCTGCGCCGAAGGAAAATCGCCTCGTAACTCCCCCCACAAAACCGCTCGGCACCTAGCGAAAGTAATTTTGAGTTTGTCTTACGGAGGACGGTTTCCTAATATACAGCTCATTCCAAATGGCCACTTCGACCGAGTATCCTTCCCTTGTAAGCACAGTGTTGCACTTTCACCTCATCTTTGAGCTTTAAGAATAAAAAGTAACCTAGCTGCATGTTTTGGTCCACCATTAAGCCGCATGGCTCCATATTGCCAAATTTGCGCTTTGCATGGCCATTTTCTTAGCAAAATGACGGCTTTTAACGGCTCATAACTTCGCCCACATAGGCGCTAAAGATAAGAGATACAGATTCGAAAATAAAAATAAATAAACAAAAACAAAAAAAATTACCTAATTCCGTTTCGTTCCTACTCACTATACGGAAATTAGGCAAGGTATACGATCTTCCCGGAACTCATCAGTAGTGAAGGAAGATCGTAGACTAGTAAGTCAAAAAAAAACAGAAAAAAAATTAAGAAAGAAAAATCCAAAATTTCAGTTATAGATTAGAAAGCTATGTTAGAATCATCACTTGCTATTGTTATTCGTAAGTAGTGCTCCTTAGCATTCTATAATGAAATAGCAAGCTTGGTAGAAACTAATAGAAGAAAGGGAAGAAGAACCATGAAATTAACAAATTTATAAAGAAAGAGAGTGTAATAAGGAGAGGACTCAATGTATTGTAGCGGAATTTAAATTAAAAATATTCGCGCGTAGCAACTAAAGTGGTTGGTTATCGTAGGAGCACGTTACTAACTAACGTTACTTACTTACTTACTAACTTATATAATTATAGTTATAATGTTACTAATATATAAATGTTTAATATTTACTAAAGAAACATATTTTTATATTATTGTTTATTTACTTATTAATTTTTTTTATTCAAATATATTATATATTTTGGTTTTATATAATTTTATTTTATTTTAAATTATATTTAATTTCGATTTTTATTTGTTTATTTAAATAATTAGTACTTTTTAAAATATGTTTTATTTATATCCATTTTTATTTTATTTTTATTTATTTATTTATTTATTTATTTTTCATTTTTTATTTTTTATTTTATTTTATTTAATTTATATTATTATTTTTTTTATAAATATATTTTCAAAATATACTTTATAATAAACTACCTATGTTTGTCGCAGTTAATAATATACATATATATATAATTAATAGCCTTTAATGTTTCAAAATAATATGGCATACATTGTTTGTGTTCCAACTGCAAGTTGAATATTAAAATATAGTTTTGATCATATGTAAGAGTTCCTCATCTGTACCACCGATGCAATACTTAGTGACAATAAATTTATTTTTATGTATACATCGGAACGTAGATTAAAATGATATCTTCTTGATAACCGATTTCTTTGAGTTGCGTCTTGAGTTTGTGGATTCTATTTATGAAATCTTCTAGTAAGGAACAAGTGCGAGCAATTCTCAATGTTTCCGTATATATGGTTGCTTTTTTGACTTGTATAGAAATGCAGGAAGTGACATGTGGAAATCTGATTACGTGGTTTTTAAAGCTCTCCGTTTTGTTATATAGTTTTGTAACGATTCTGTTATCAGCTATACATAGTTCTAGGTCTAAATAACAACAACTGGATGGATTTGGATTAGTAGTTTCAAACTTCAAAGAGTTTTCATAGACTTGTGCTAAAATGAAATTTATTTCCTTATCTTGCTTGTTATGTATAATAAGTATGTCATCCATATATCTGAAAGAAAAAAACTTTCTTCCGATCCTATCGAGTTTATGTAGTTTCTAAAATGCGTTTTGGTAAACGCAAGTATCTTAGTTAGCTCCATGGATACTGGTTTTATGCTACTACTATGTGCTCCTGTAATGAATCTAAATTTTATAGGATCTTTATGTAATTTAGGCACGCAGTATATAAGAGGTATCGCAGCATTATTAATTTGCTTCAGTCTAAAAGTTTGACATGTTTGTATGTGTTTATTGATAATATCAAACTGGGATATATTAGGAAGATATTTATATGCTCCTGCTACTGTGGTAATTGGTAGTATGTTGTTATTGATTTGAGACAATTCCATTTCTTTCATTAATATAGAAAAATAATACTTTTTACAAATAAAGCTATAATTAATACTAGCTTTGTCTATGGGAGTTATCACAAAGTATTGTTTTAGCTCTGTGATCAAATCTTTCAAATGCTTTTCAACGTTACTATTTGCGTACGAATGTCTATAAGGTTTGATCTTTCTGCGTATTTTACTATGCAAAATTGATTGTATAGTGTTTAATGTAGGTACATTGATTTTATACTTGCTCTGCAGTATTTCTGTGTAAGATTTTGTTGTTTCTTCTATCCATTTGTCGATTTTAGCTTTACTTATATTAGCTTGATGTCTATACTTTACCTTTCTTTAGTATTTCAATAAGTGTATGGTTGCGTACTATTGAAAGGTCTCCTGTCACTATATGTTTATGATAGGAGTCTATGTATTCGTGGTTTCTATCTGATTACAAACACATTCTGATGTGAGTGTGTTAATCAATGTATTAGTATCCAAATTTCCAAGTGTTTTATTGTAATTGAATAATAGCTTCGAAAAAGGTGTAGCATAATTATAAACTACAGTGAATGGTTTATATGTTTTGTTTGTATTATTACAAATTAGTTGCTTAATTTGTTTGCAACTTATGATTCTTGTAAGACTTATTTTGTCGATAATTTCATGAATGTAATTAGTTTTTAGGATTATGGAATCCTTGTTAAATTGTTTAGTAAGTTTTGCGTTTCTAAATTGGAATCTACATAGTATAGAGATGAGTAAATGTCTATTTTCCGTAACTAATGTTGTTAGGAAGTTGGTGTTATAACATAATCTTATTAGCTTATTTACAGCTGACTTATTCATATTATTCACAAATCTGTATAAAAGTATGCTACTTTCAAATTCATTTATTTTTTGACTCAATTCTGCTATGTTTGTTATCATCCTGTTTCTTTCTTTCTTTTTTCTATGTTTACTCCTTTTCCTATTTTTCTTTATTTTGAGATTGAAATAAGGATGGTTAGCCTTGTAAGCCAACGGATTCGTGATATTAGATATGTTTCCATAACCCTTTATATTATCATTGAATCCAAAGGGAAAGGCTGTCATCAACAATTTTATCCAGAATAATTCTTTATCTGTCAGCACATTCTTATCCTGATTCTCTATACTGTCATCCAGTATTGTAAATTTAATTAATCTACTTCTACATGTTTGTTTGAAATGTGTATACAAATAATTATCAATATCATTCTTTTTACTATGATAAAGATGTTCATTCATCCTATTTTTAAAATTTCTTGTAGTTATTCCTACATACTGCTTATTACATTCCATACAAGTGAGACAATATATTAAATTTTTTGACTGACAATCAGATTGCATATTGGCATATGTGTTGATTTTGAGATTAGTAACTGAAGATTGTATATATGTCCTGTTATCTATTAGGTTGCAATATTTACAGTTTTCTCTACATCTTGTTAATCCCTCTGAATTACCAAAGTTATCTAGTGTATATCCATGTTCGCTATCCCTACTTTTAAAGAATTCTTCAACTTTGTAATAACTAGAGCTACTGAACTTTATGTTTTGCACTGACCTATAAATCTAAGCGAAGTGGATGGTCCAACCCACAGGGCAGAGGAATGGTGGATTCGGTAGGGCTGCTACCAGGGTTCTGGCAAACCCTTTATTCTATAGAGTAGTTTATGAATGTTTATTGCATAGAATTAGCTCTTTCGGAGGCGTGGGAGCTACCACTACAGCTACCACAAGCTATCGTTGGGGGGCGGGCGTTAGGTCCCCAGCCAAGGTGCGGGCGTTGGGAACCCAGCCATTAGTGGTATACCCTAAGCCACGTCCCTTGGTTCTTCAACAGCGAGTACCTAACGATACACCAAATCCTAGCTGCTAGAACAGCTTACCTAACTCGCTAAAGCGCTGGCGCTTGCGACCCACAAAAAACAGTTCGAGGAAACTAAAAAAAACTGCGCGAATGAAAGCACAAGTTTGTACGCAACGTTTTTCTACTGCTTCTGTTGTAAATCAATTTTAGAACCACAGAAATTCGGTGATGAAAATTGAAAACAGGGTAAAGCTTTTGTGAGCACTTCACATATGTACCACTGCCAGAAAAAATATAAAGTAAACTTTGACTTTGTAGAATTCTAATAAACCAAAATTTTATGATTTCAATGAACAAAGCACACTTTCGGAGTTCATTGGAACTTGGTTGAACGAAATATTACATATTTCGTTCAACCTTGTATTCAAAAACTGCTTCAAATATATTTTTGACAATGAGAAGTGGAACCGATTGGAAGAAGAGCTTCGACGAGAACCTGTCATCAGAAATCAGAACTTTATGGAGGTCTATGTGACCCATAATCTATGGAAGGGCACTAACTCTGTTCCAATCAATGAAAATTTTGCATTACAGGGCAATTTTTGAAGCAAATTTTGATGAAGTTTGTGTCAATGGAATAAAGCAGGAAAAATCAACAAACTCTACTGAGAGATATGTTGACAAAATCTTACGCTTTTCAGTGAGTTACAAGAAAAAACTATAGCTTTATTCGGATAAATTGATCATATTTTGGCTGTTAGAAAAGCGAGTAAAAGTTAAACAATTGCAATATCGAAGTCCTCCAAAAAAGCACTACATAGAACATAGACATGAAGATACAGTGGTTCAATGATATCCATATGGGGTGTGAAATCTTCCGAAATAAAAAAAAATGTGTGCTCATCAATGTGATGTTCCATAAATCTGCTGGCCTCAGCAATGACCGAAGTAATAGCCTTAACAATAAAGGACAATGTTGTTCACAGTTTCGTGGCCATATTAATGCACCTATAACTTCACACCTCGAAACGAGGCCGACGACAATATGTGAAAGGGATTTTCCGCGCAACTTATTTGCCAGGAACATCTCTGAAAGTGAACTCACAATGGTCGGCCGCCTCATCGTGGCGTGGGGTTGACGCTGCAGCCGAGTATATACTCTGGCAGGGCGTCCCAATCTGTGAAGGAGTTCGACGTTTCCGGTTTCGGCCGGATGCATAGCTAAGAGCAGGCCAGGCAAGACCCACCGCTGGCGTTTTCTGGTCGCTAGGCGGTTCTGCTCCCCTCTCCAAGCCCGGGGTCAGCGATCGCCCCGTGGAAATCAAGAGTAGGCCTAGTTAGTCTGCTCTGGCAAATGAACAATTTCATTACTTCGCATTTAGAAGACTAGGAAGAAACCCTGTATATCGGATCCCGCCTACGGCGCCGGGTGGTAGAAAGAACTATGTCAGGGTCCTCAGGGCGCTTTTCGGATTGGACAAAATGACACGTCTGCCCGGACGACACGCCATGGAGACTGCCGTGCCCTACAACGCCAGGACAGTCTCCACAAACGCCGACCTCCACGCTCTTCTTGACGCTGCAGTGCATATCAAGTACCACATCATCGCTCTGCAGGAAACGAAGTCCAGGAAGAAGGACGTGCAACTGATGAGTGATGGGACCCTCATCATTCGTGGTAAAAAGGTTCTGCGTTGGGTCGTCCACCCATCTATCGTCCATCCTGTCGATTCGCATAGATCCTATCACCTCGATTAGCCATCCTTCGACTACGACCTCCACGTCAGAAGACCATCAGCATTATCAGCTGCTACCCGCCAACATCAGCAGCTGACGACTCAGAACTAGATGCTTTCTACGAAGACGTGGAGGAGGTCGTCCGCAACGAGAAGTCCTTTTACAGCTTGTTAAGTGCCAGGAGCAACTCCGAAGGTATGCTTTGCTTCATCGAAATCATAAAATTTTGGTTTATTGGGAGTCTACAAAGTTCACTTTATATTTTTTTCTCGCAAAGGTATGTGAAGTGCTCATAAAAGCTCTATCTTGTTTTTAACTTTCATCACCGAATTTCTGTGATTCTTATTGATTCAAAAAAGGAGCAGTAGAAAACGTTGCATACAGACTTGCGCTTTCATTCGCGCAATTTCTTTTTGGTCTCGAACTGTTTTTCTGTGGGTCGCAAGCGCCAGCGCTTTAACGAGTTAGGTAAGCTGTTCGATCAGCTAGGTTTTGGTGTATCGTTGGGTATCCGCTGTTGAGGGACGTGGGGGGCGTGGCTTAATGTATACCATTAAAGGCAGCGTCCGGGCAAAACCTCGACTTCCATGTTTCTAGCGTTTCTTGCTTTTTCGACGCCCCTGAATCTAAATCCGAACCGAGAATTGCTTGAAATCTCCAAAACCCCCGTTTCTGGAACCCTATTTCAATAATCGCGGACGAGTGTTCCGAAATTTATCTGGTGTAGTGACACGTGAAAACATGTGTCAAAGGTAGAAACACTGCGTGTAACGACACGTCAAAGGGGCGCGTCAAACATGTAAGCTCGTCTTCGTAGGCGTAAGGGGAGCGGAAGGAGGAAGGGGAGCGGCACTTGACCCGCCCACCTGACTTTCAGAATTCACATTTTCGGGGCGGACTTGCTGTTTTGTCTTAGTTGAGGGGGACCCTGTCGAAATGTGACAGCATCTGAGGTAGGTCAATTTTGCCCGGACGCTGCCTTTAATGGCTGGGTTCCTAACGCCCGCACATCGGCTGGGTACCTGACGCCCGCCCCCCTAGACGCTACTGGTTGGATACCTAACGCCACGCACCCGCTATCGTTCATGTTGGCTGCCCCCCCCCTTCCCTCTCCCATTCACAATCACATATATGCGGGCGTATAAATTACTCGCATTTGATCGTATCTTTTTCGCTTGTATGGGTACATTATCCCGTATGAGTAGTTTCTTTTGCTCATACGTCACGTCAAGTACGAGCATTTCCTTTTTTCTGTTTTTCAAATGTCTAGGACGACTGGCGCTATACTAACAGTATGTCTTACTTTAAATGGTACACCTTGAGTCTAAAAATAAAGATAAAGAAGAAGGCATCCATCCCTATGTCTTCGTCAAGTTAGTTGATAATGAACCAGCGTCTCTTTCTGTCCCAACATAGCTATAACGAAAATCAGTACCTGACAAAGTACGTTTAGCATAGGCTCGTTTATTATCCATGGTGTAGAACCTAGCTGGTTGAGTGCATCAAACACAGGTCGAGCTTGGGCACTGAAATTGCGATTTATAAATGGCTAAATGACAAATGTGCCTTTATTCGGACTCTTTTGTTAACTTTTCGAGAAGCGAACATGTAATCAGGCAATATAAGCTGAAATCTTTTTTTGACCCACTTTCTTCGCCAAAGCTACAACAGAAACAATCGTAAACGAGTGATCGTGACTCTCAAACTTAAACTTGTAAGAAAGTAAAAGGAGTAAACACTATTTGTAGTGCATTGATTCTACATCTTACAGTGAAAATTTCGTATAAATAACTTTCTAAAAGACTGAAAACTTGAGCTTCGCCTCATCATGCTTTATGAACTTACGGAGATTTCAGTCTTCTTTGCATCTGCGAGTTTATGTCTATATGTTTGTATTCGGCAAGGTTTCTTAAGACTGGAGTAGATCGGGTGTACTCTGGGCCGCCTTGCCCTCCATCACACCATGGTCGAGGAGGAACCTAAAGATGTACAGCTGACAAAGTGTTGGCTGCAATTATAGTGTAGCCACTGGCATAGGTGGCGTGACCCAGAGTCTGAGGATCGGTATATAAATGGTAGCTATTATTAATTTAGTGCATAGGGAACTCCCTAGGAAGAACAAGAACAAACAGGAAAACGCAAAGACAATTGAAGCAAAACAGCAACAACAACATTGAACATGGAGTGATTGCAGATAGCGTTTCAGAATGTCTGTCAAAGTTTTGCTCATAAAAAAGCTTCACAATTACCCTATTTTCAGATGTATAAACCGCACTTTTTCACGGATATATGCTGATGACATAAAAATTTATGGAATCTATACTGCTGCTAACTGTTTTGAAGTGCAATCTGCCCTACAGAGGTCACTAGAGACCTTAGTTGAATGGGCTTTGCAATGGAGCTTGACTTTGAATCTTAGTAAGAGTTGTGTACTGCATATGGGTGACTGCATAGCCGGAACCTACTCAGTGGATGGGGTTCCATTGAGGTCGTGTTGCTCTGCTAGGGATTTGAGAATTATTGTTGATTCAAAGCTGAGGTTTTCGAAACATGTTGATGCTGCTGTTAGGAGACCTTACTCGTCCTTGTCTGTACTGCTCCGTACTGTCAAAAGCAAATCGCCCGTTATTTTGACGCGTTTGTACAAAGCACTTGTTCGACTCATCTTGAATATTGTTCCCAGGCCTGGAATCCTACACGTAAAAAAGAAATTGCAAAGCTTGAACAGGTGCAAAAAACTTTTACTCGTCTCTTGTGTATTCGCCTCTCTCCTAACAACAGGCCTCCGAATTATGAAGCTCGATTGAAAAAGTTTAATTTACAAAGTCTTCTTTGTCGCCGTTATATTGCTGATCTAGTTTTTTGCTTTCGAGTGCTTAGGAAAGAAAACAGATTGATGGCAAGCAAGTAATGGATATTCGTACCAACTAGCGAGAGATTAGGAGGCTTTGATTTGCATTATAAAGCCATTAATTGTAATGCATCTAGGATGTACAATAATATCTTCTGTAGATGCGCTCGATGGTTTCAGGTGTTGCCTAGAGATATCATTTCATCAAAGGATGCGCGATGTTTCAGTGCTAACAAGGGAATGGTCAGAAGTCGAAGTCGCCAATCTAAACAAGCTGCATACCATTCGATGCAGCATAGAACGCTGATTACAAATCTGTCTTCCGTATCTGCAGAGCGCCATTGTAGGCGAAGTTATAAGCCGTCAAAAGTCATTATTTTGCTAAGAAATTGTGCGTGTGAGGGGCAAACTTGGCCGTACAAAGCCATTCTCGGCTCAGTGTTGGACCAAAACATGCAACTAAGTTCCTTTATATGGTTCGTACCTAAAGGTGAGCTAAAAGAGCAATGATGTGCCTAATTTCGCAGTTTTTGTGTATGAATTTTCCGCAGTAAAGCTGCTCATAACTTCGCCTACAAAGGCGCTCTGCAGATACGGAAGACAGATTTGTAATCAGCATTCTATGCTGCATCGAATGGTGTGCAGCTTGATTGGATTGGCCACTTCGACTTCTGACCATTCCCTTGTAAGTTGAAACGGGTTGAACTTACTCGGCTTTTTGCTCGATAGTGTTTTCTGTCGTTAGTCTTTTTCAGTTCATCTCTGGTAACTACGTCACATGTGGTTCTACTACCGGTGATGTTGCTTTGTGTCGCGGCTCTGCGTGCTGCTTACATAATCGTCGCTGATGTTATTTGACATCTTTTTGCCTACGTCTTGATAGTCAACTACATGGAATTAGAGAGAGGGCCGTTATCTTCAGTTTTAAATTTTTGTTCTGTTACTAATAACCATGACCATGCCTTACTAACGTTCACTTCAGTGAGTCCCTTCATCAGGGTTACGTTAGCAGCATTCAATTACCTCATTGTAGCCTGGCCCCATCTATAGTAGTCTGCTTGATTTCTTCTGTCGGTTTGACTCGTTCTAACGTAGTCGGTAGGTACTTATCCCTATCACTCCGATTCGAAATCTTGCTTCCTTCAAAACAAAGTCCTATCGGGGCCTGGTAAGATAACTTCTACCGGGGAGGCTCGCTGACACCCAAAAAGGGGGTCATCATGAGTTTTAAAGGCAGCGTCCAGGCAGATTTGGACCTAAGGGGATTTTACGTTAAAGTACTTTTGAGGCCCTAACTAAGGCACTGCTCAAGCAGCAGCACAGGTAGTGCTCTAACAGCTGAGATATTCCCCTCGAAACTGGACTCCGCGATCGTATTAGCATGCATTCATGGCAGTTTCGCGCCAGTAGCCACGCTTTGCGCCATAAATCCATGCGAAATACGATTGCGGGGTCCAGTTCGAGGGGAATATCTCAGCCGTTAGAGCACTACCTGAGCTGCCAGTTGGGCAGTGGCTTAGTTTGGACCCCAAAATTACTATCCACGTAAGAGCCCCATGTGTCTGCCTTTAAGGATGCGAAGTCTCTAGATTTTTTTGTGCAAAATGCTTTTTAATTCGCTAGATGGGTCTAGAGCTTCGTGTTTTGTTATCCATTCTTTATTTTCTGCTTGCCCTGTAACTGGGAGGCTAGTTTCATGTGTTGTGCTTTGTTTGAGCTTTCTGTTTGATCTTTTTCCTTTCGATGCAACTTGAGTGTAATTATAAAATAAAATAAAATAAAAATAAAACTCTCAAATGGACGAGTATTTGAATAACTCATCGAATACAGGCCCTTTTCATTTATTCGACTATTCCAATAATCGAACTTTCTCAAATATTCGACTATTCGAATCTATTCGAACACGAATATTCGATTCTAACTATATTTTCAAGTGCCAGGAAGACCAAAACCACTGTTTTTACCTTAGCCAACCCTTTGAATTTATAATACGAATTCCCATACCTCCGTTCTCAGAAGACCTTTGTAGGTATCGAAAACGCCTATCGGCGTTCCATGCTCTATGAAACAGTATTTATTTTATATGAAAACGCCACTTCGAATAGTATCCTTCCCTTGTTAGAACTCACGCAATGCTTACCATCAGAAAACATTACAAATAACCACCTATTCCAAAACGTTTTCGAAACGTTGAATCTGTAGCTTTCGGAGGAAGTTCTGGGTAGCTTCGGGAGAAACTTCTGTGAGGAAAAATGAATGCGGACTCGAGACGCTTATTAAGTGAGGCAAAAGACAATGAGCACCTTGAACTACATGCTTGGGTAAAATTCTTCTGTTCCCTAGGTAGACCGTGACCACGCGAGAATAACCCAGTCATCCCTACCACTTGCTATGCATATTATTATCAGCTACAAATAATTGTAGCAACTGCCCTAATTTCACGCGTACAAGGCGCGGGGTGGTCCTAGCTTTCATCGAGCTGCTCAGCCGCCCCAACGTGTTTTAAGAAGCGATCCTTATGCCGCACGATTCGTCAGGCAAAACGCAGCACGGTATGGGGTTCCTTTGATTGCGAAGTCCTTTGCCGTGTTCGGGCTGGTCGATGAAAGCTAGCACCACCCCGCGCCTTGTACGCGTGAAATTAGGGTAATTTTTTTTGTAAAAAGCTGTAACAAAGAAAAAAAACCAGCATTGTTTGAGCCACTAGATTATTCGAATATTCGAATAGTCGAATATTCGACCGTATGTAATTATTCTATTATTCGAATAGGAATTCCCGACCAACCCCATTTATTCGAATATTCGTTCGTTCGACTTTGGAATTGTAGCATTATTCAAATATTCGAATTCGAGTAATCTGAAAATCAGAGTTCGAATAATATTTGTTCGCTCGAATATTTTTCAAGAGCCGATTATACGATAATCGGTCGTTCGTCGAAATTTTTCGGTTGTTTCAACTATAGTATACGATAGGCGACAAAGGCACTCGATTTCAGCAGCAATTGATGTACATATGAACATGTTTCAGCGCACTGAGTAACCTGATGCAAACAAAAATCAGAAGATACGTGAAAACTGACAGAAAACTGGATGCCCACCGACACCTCCCGTACCCAGGCAGGCGCTCTACACATCCGAAGATGCGCCTAATCAAGCTGAGGCGAATGGGCATTTGAATTTAAAACTCGCAACCGGGTACATACGGACAAGCGAGGCGAAAATTCGGCAAACTCCGGCGACGTCATGTTTTTTTTTTTCAAAATGAGTGGTACTGTATAGAGTCACATATAAGCGAGCAAATCAGCATAGTTTTAGCAAAAACATGCTAATTCAAGTTCTCGATTACAGAAATATGCAGTAGATGTACATGTGGATGTCTGCAGGGGTGCTTTGATGGAGGTCCATAGGATTTTTATGGATGGAGTTTCAATATCTCGGATGCTTGACAAATCCTAAAAAATTGCTTCAAACTTTACGTGATTCGTGCTTAGTCCCGAGGTAATGTTTATACGCCATCCTGGTGATGGGTCGCAATTTTTTGGAACTTTATTTTAATCTCTTTTCATTTTCTTTTCAATAAACTTATGGTGAATCATGGATGAAAAAATAGACAAAGAAACCTTGCACAGACATGAGAAACCACTCAATCTCAAACGCAGGAAGACATATATCATTCATTCTGTGACTAACAAGGGAAGTCACTTGACTTAGGTCGGGCTTTTGAAATGAGACACAAATGGTTGGAATCAGCTTGAAACGCTGATTTCAGATCTGCTTTCCTTAGCTGCGAAGCGTTCCTCTGAAGCGAGTTATGAGCTTTTCCCTGAGCAAATTTTGTGTGTTGACCGACTTGGGCATGCTACTGTATCATCATCTAGGTAGTGGTTCAAATGCATATCATACCCTATCAAAGCCAAATGACTCAATTTGATGTTATTTTGACTTTCCACCACTTTTTGGGCAGATTTTCATCTAAAGACCTTCTTTCCATATTGAGTTATATGTCAATGACACATACTAAAAAAGCTCATAACTTGCTTTAGAGGAACGCTTCGCAGCTAAGGATAACATATTTGGAATCAGCGTTCCGAGCTCTTTCTAAATATATGTGTCTCATTTCAAAAGCCCGACCTAAGATAAGTGACTTCCCTTGTAAGAGACACGAGCACGCTTTGCGTACGTCTAATTAACAAGTTCATGAGCGTGTTTCAACGCGTTTCGGTGAATTATTCGTAAAAACAAGTTCGCTGATAACAAGCTCGAACATGTTCCGTCAAAAACCCAATAATAAATTAAGCAAAGCGCGTTAGAACTCACACACGAACTTGTTCATCAAACGTACGCAAAGCCTGCTCGCGTCTTTTAATCAGAGAACGAATGATATGATAGGAGTTAGGAGTCTGGAGCCAGATTTCAAATTGGTCTACATCTTATAAATGAAGCTGAATGTGTGTCTGCTGTCTGTGTGTACGTATGTGCGGAATAGAAATTTTTATTTGACCGATTTGGACTAAACTTGGCACCCATACACTTCGGGGCAGGGAGCGTGTCATAGGCTACTTTTCGTTACCGATCCATATCGATTTTATCGATTTTTGTCGTTTTTTTACAGAGTTCACCTACGGGGCTGGGAGTTGGCACAGGGAGGTGAGCATGGCGATTCCGAATACAATATTAGTTTCCGAAATTATCCATCACGTTTATCGATTTTATCGATTTTTTTGCAAAGTTTGAGCTATGGGCTGAGAGTTGGCACGAGGGGGGGGGGTAATCGAGCATGCTGATTCTAAAACAGTGGGAATAATGAATTGGCATGTAGACGTGGGCACAGGTCAAAAAAAAGTGCGCGCGGCTGACGCCACGTCCTCGAAAAAAATTTTTTTATAAGGCTAAAACGAATTTTTTGAAAATTTTAAAAATTATTTCAATTATTTAGAAGTGCAGACAATTCATTTACACAATTTGTAACCTTGTTTATAACCCATGTAAGTAACTTTCAAAAATTTCGCGACCCGTTCTCGCCCCCCCCCCCCTCGGTACACCACTGGTACAGGGATAGGGATGAAAGCTTTATCATAGTGTTTTGACAGGGACGAGCGGAGCCGGGCAACCAGCTAGTAGGTTATGAAATTGCTCAAGCCTTCAAAGTTCCGTCTTCGTAAAGCCTGGACATGTTTGTATCTTCTGCCTACTTCTGTGCCACACAGGTTTCATAAGTGGTCTTTATTCCAATCACAAGGCCCAACGTTTCGACGCCTTCATCTTCCTCAGAGGTCGGCAGACTACTAATATGCGTGGAAGTCCGCACCGGAATTGAGTGGTCAGCCGGCCTCTGAGGAAGATGAAGGCGTCGAAACGATGGGCTGTAATTGGAATAAAGACTATAAGCTCCTGCAAGACGAAGGCGGTTGCGAGGCGCGACGTGGCTGTGACGCGGCTGTGACGCTGCTGTGACGCAGCCATGTCGCAGCCGCGTTGCACATTGAACCGACCGCCTTCGTCTTGCAGGAGCTTATACCTATCAAACCTATGTGGCACAAAGTAGTCAGGCGTCGCGCAGTTTTGACCTAGTAAGAATCATTTTTTAGATTGGCGTAAAAATTTTTGGGGGTGTCTGTCGCCTATCCCTATAAGCGGGAAAATCCCCCCCCCCCCTCCCATTCCTCCACTCCCTCCCCTCCTTTCCTCCGGAAGGAATTTTATGACCGGCACTAGTTTAAGGTAAGGTATTCGGTTCCAGTAAATTATTAATGACCTAGCAGCACCTTGGCGTGCAAATGCACAATCGTTTCCCTTGCAAAAAAGCCGGTAGACTCGGTAACCGCCCCACGAATTCTTGCTTAGCTAGAAGGATTGAAAAACCTTTTGTTTTCTACTAACAAGGAGTGCATGTTTAGTAGATGTGGCGCTTTTGGATGGGATAATATATACAATATTGTGAGACATAAAATGCTGATTCCAAATCTGCCTTCCTTATCTGCAGAACGTTTATGGAGGAGGAGCTATGAGCGCTTAATGTAGCGAAAATTGAATGTGGTAGTAGGAGAAATATAACCGTAATACTTTTTCTAGCTCTTCAATGGAGCAGTGATAATCATCAAAGCTCTTTCTTTGAAAAATACTCCAAAGTAAAAAATATGCTATACTTGGTTGCATTATTTGAGGGCTAGTAAGATTTTAGCAACTCATTTTATCCAAAATGCACTTTAATTCTTGGCTCCAAGAAACGCTCATGACTTTTCGTCCTTAAAATTCTGCAGATCAGGAAGGCAGATTTGGAATCAGCGATTTATGCCCTCTAATACGGCATGCACTTCATTTGGAAAGGCTACTTCGACTAAACAAGCTTCCCTTGTGAGAATACGAAGGTCCCAAATCTGTCCGGCTATCGCCTCTAGCGAACATGTTAGTCTCAATGTTTGCAAAAAGCACGAACCGTCATTGGAAGTTGATGCGTGGGAAATACGATGTATCGGAATGGATGTTCATCGAACAATTCAATCAACTTTGTATTGATAGCCAACATTCTGGACAATGTCACGCGAGAATCTTCGGTGATTCGAGACTCTTCCTCGATTGCTACATTACGAATCGAAAATGCATCTACTGCATGCTCTGAAAAAGGCTGATGACATTTTTGAGCATTATAAAGTTATCAGTATGAAAAACGAACCGACACCATGATTATTCTTGACAGGAAACTGGCAAGACTTTAGGATAATTTCTTGGAGTGAAGTAGACAACTGATTTTTTGCTTCAAAATGTAAGTCTTCGAAAGGTGCCTATAACAATCTTTAAAACAGATAGTCAAATACATTTAGAGGTTGTGTCCGGCAAAAGCTCGATTCCTGACAGATTCACTCCAAAAATCCACTTTAGAAAGCACAAAAACGGCCAGAAGATGCGCTTTCCTAAACTGAATTTGGACGAGTAACAGTTTCCGCCAATGCTGAGCAGGTTGCTGCGGGACCCTACGACTTTAATTGTGACGAAATGCGTACTCTGCCGAAGAGCAGAAAATCCACAGGTGGAGAGCCCCGCCCCAGGGCGTTAGTTTCCCAGCTTTCCAACAGTATTTCTTGCTTATAGTCGCACATTTGCGCGATGACGTGTCCGAAAGGGCCCATTTCGCATAGCCTGAAATTCTTCCCCCCCCCCCCCCCCAACCTTGTCCGGACACTGCCTCAAAGGACAACAAACACGGAAAAAAATTTGGGCAATAGATCAAGGAGCTTACTTACCTGTGCCAAAGGATGGATACCAAAATCTCTGCAACACTTGACCCACCATTCGCGGTGAGTGTAGAGTCGAGAAATTTCTTCATCACAAAATATTCTGATGTAGCTGCGGAATACGGAAGTCCAGACCTACATTTCAAAATCAGAAAAAAAAACGATTACGCTTTTTCAGGCTTACATTGGATTCATCAATCTCAAGTATCTTATTAAACTTTGCATTAACGGAGCGCAGAACTGGTGTAACAAGGTCATACTGGAAGGATGTGAGTGGTATCAAATGTTGACCCTGGGAACACACGGTCTTTATAGTTCCCAAGATCATTTTAGCCATTTCCGTGGGAGGTACCACATGAGCAATCAATCGCACTGGAAATTATGTAAAGATAACTCTAATAAAGAAAGAAAGAAATGGACTGCTAACATGGACTTTGCTTTCGTTCCAATCTAAGTCGCTCAAGAGAATTTCGTATGGCTGCAAACCATCCCCAAGAGTCGATGAGCTCTTCTGCGCATTTCTTTGCAGGTGGTCCATCCTCAGCCTGCACATAATTTGCAGCATATAGCCAGGAGACTCGTTCTGTACCGATATGATCACGAAACTTCTTCATGTAAGATTCCTGTAATAATCTAGGACTGCTATACGCTTGAGGTAGATTTTACGCTCAATATAGTGTGCTTGCGGTCCCGAGGAAATGCAGTAAAATGTGCGCGTGGACAAATAGCCATACCAGTAATGCTGGCATTTTGCGCCCGCAAGTGATCTCAGGCATAGCTATTTGTCACGCGCAATTTCACCGCATTTTCTCGGCACCGCAAGCACACTGCATTGATCGGAAATTACTTGAGTGTATGATAGCAGAGTAGCAAAAAGGATGAAATCGAGATAATGCGCTATTGCGAAGTAATAGGACAAATGTCTAACCTCGCTAGTATTGAAAAGTTGAAACTGATTGCCATGGTAGCTTTCCTTTAATATAGGCTTTTGGAAATAATGCAGAAGGCGCTTATTCTGAATTACGAAGAAGCGCATGCCGACTGGAGTTGAGTAAAGGAGCTGGAAGTACTACCTCATACGAGGCTTCCTCTTCTGGTGGACGTCTGGTCCCTTTAGAATTTGTACTATACTGTTGTAGAAGCTCTGCGAGTCGTTGTTTATCAGAAGATGTGAGCCAAAGCAACGATTCACTAGACGTGCGCTTCACCTGAGATTAGCAGCAAACGTCATTATCACGTCACTTTCCGTGTATTTTTTTTTGCATAGAATCAAACTATTTGGTTGATGCAAAATCAATGCATGTTCCCTATCCTAAAGCGGCAGAGAAAATATAAAAATGTATCAAATATATCATTCGATAAAGCAAAATAAGCTCTACAAGATAGTATTTGAACAAAGGCAAAGGATTGGATTCATGTGAAAGTATCCAAAAAAAATCCAGAAAATTTTAAATGCCCAAAAATGAAATTTCCGTCTAAAGAGACTGCAAACTCCCAGCTTGTTCAAACATATACTGAACACATCAGGTATTCATACGTACACTTGCCGTATTTTTTTCGTAACTGAAACTTGGGAAATAAAAATAGACCAAAATTTCGAAAATGTCACTTTTTTCGTTTTTTATGTTAAATTCGATATTTCTCATCAAACGCTCAAAAAAGGTGAGAGTTTATTGTTACACTTACAAAGGCTATACGTCGAGACAGTTCAGCTTCAATTTTGTTAGAAGATGCCGAATTAAATCTAAACATGGAAAAAACAGCAAGTGTACAATGCGTAGCTTACGCATAAGTAATTTTTGTGAGCAAGGAGGTTTGTAGGATTCTTGTGAACAGAGATTTAATTTTTGGGCATTTGTAAACTCTTAAATTTTTCTTCGTTACTTTCCGTGTATCAGAAGTACCAAAATTATTTGAGTACTATCTTGTGGGGCTTGTTTCGCTCTATCGAATGATATGCTTCGTAAATTTTTATGCCTTTCCTGTCGCTTTAGCATAGTCAACATGCATTAATTGAGCATCAACCTAATACCTTGGAACAAGAGTTATATCTTGATATTCAAGAGACAGAAGCTTACCAGCTGTGCTACGTCATTTTCCAGAGCATTTAGGCGATGTTCAATCTCATCAGAAAAATTATCATTATTCCGCAATCGTGCCCATCTATCGAAAGTATCATAAAGAAGGAGAGAAGCTACTTTCATGTCGTTTCCAAAGAAATGTATCCGTTCCCACATATTTGCTGGATAACAACTATTGACTGTGGTCATGCCTGATAAGAGATCCTTACAATACGCAAAAAAAGCCGCCAGGATGTCCGCAGAATTTCTTTCCTCTTCAATCTTCATAGTGCGAACGACGCTACGATGCACAACCATCAGCCCCACTGCGATAAACTGTAATATCATTCAATTTAGATTATATACAATGTCAGTATCTCGGCATATTTGGGGCTTTGAAGTACCACTGCGATGACGGTCACCAGTACTATTTCTGTACAACACTACCTCGGATAATCGCCGGGGGCAGGTGGTCCGCAAACTCGCGCTTTTCTGCAAGCGGTCGGCAAGATTGTGGGGCGTGGCCAAACCTTCAGCGAGCGGTACTTCCCTGTTCTGCAAGCGAGCAGCAATACAAATTTTTCTGCAAGCGCTCGTCAAATAATCTCTCTCAACGAGCGCTGGTCAAACTTTCAGCAGGCGCTCGGACACTTTTTAAGCAGTTTCGGGCGTATGCCGAGCAAAGGTGAGACTCTATGTGGCCGAGGTGCATCGATGGTTTAATTACTCAAGTTTGGGGTACTTTCTCTTAGCGGAAGGTACCTATGGGCTGTGCGGTCCTTCAAAAAGGACCGCGCGGCCCTCAATAATTCTGCATATTCTCGCGGACCGCGAGAATGCGACCGCCGCAACTAAACTGTAGAAAAACCGCGACTGTTCTCCGTGCATTCCAACAACTGGCTAGCATTTATCCGAATTTCTGCAAGCCGACCGCAAGAAATCAGCAAACTATTATTCCGATGCCCACTTGTCCAAAAATCGCATGGCCGCCTGCCCCCGGTGATTATCTGAGACCCTGTCCCTGTCCCATTTCCATATATGAGTTCCCCACCTCCACTGTGTTTTCGTAATTAGCATGCTCACTTACCGCTCCCAAAGCTCAAAAAATCGTCAAAATCGATAAATGCAACGGGTGTTTTTATCAAATCAATGTTACTTTCATGAACATCATTTTCACTTGAAGACAGTGTGGAACTAGCTCGCGATTGTTATTACCATAAGCAACTGAACATCTCAGAATTTTCGTACGGTAGCTTGCTTACACCCTAAATATGAAACTCTAGCTAGTTCAAGAGCACAGCATGCTGCCCTACCAAGAACTATCTCCAAACCCGAGCACGTAAGCCATTCTTGCACGCGCTGGAACTAGCTCGCGATTGCCCCCCCCCCCGTAGTAGGCGGCATGTCGCAATGTTATTACCACAAGGACCCTGCAGCAACTCTGTGTATGCAATTTGGCGAGAACTGTTCCACTAGTCCAAATCCAATATGAAGGGCTTTGGGAAATGCTGTTCACCATTTTCGCGGACACATAGTGATTTTCGAGATCAACGCGTCGAATTATCCCAGGTAAGCAAAAGAAATTTAGGTCAAGGATGCCAAGCTAGTGCCTTCAGTCCCCTGTGCCAACTCCCAGTATCGTAGCTCAAATTTTGCAAAAAATCGAATGATGCTGTAGCTCAAAATTTTTTTTGATAAACCTCAGTTTGCGAGGAAAGTCGAAGAAAACGTTGCGAAGTTATAACGAGAATAGACGACTATGAGAACAAAGGCTAATGCCTAGGATTCTCCTAAAGGATCACATAAAACAGTATAAATCCCAATTTGAGCAATGTTCCTGCAACCATTATGCTCAAAGGCAGTGGCTAAGGAAAGTCGCGAGTGGGGAACTTCCACAACTACATGGCCTTCCGGATCAGCTGAGTCAGGTACTGTGCTTGACAAGTTAAAAAGTGCTTTTTTGGCGTTTTCCGACTTCGGAGATTGTTGGAGAGGCGCGAGGGATCCGTCAACCGTATCGTATTCATTGCCTAAATTGAGCAGCCAATTGCCGCCAAAATAGGTGAAGTTACAGTATTCTGCAGTCACTTGCTGGTTCCGGCGGGAATCCCTCGCCCCGCTTCTCGAGCTCTGCAAGGCCGTGAACTCCACAAAAAAAATTTTTTTGACATTTTAAGCACAGTACCTGACTCAGCTGGTTCAGAAGGCTATGTAGTTGTAAAAAGGCACCACTCGCGATTTTCCCGAGCCACTGCCTTCAAGCATAAGGATATGAAAAGCTTCATGAGTCAGATAGAACTAGTGAACCAGCGACCTTGTGTGTTGCATGCCGAGGAGCGCATCGGACTAGTGGTGAATCTCAATTAACACGTTAACGTATGCACGCCCTACTTCCGTTTAGCATTTTCATATATACGTATGTATGCACGCCACTCCAGGTAAACAAAAGTTCTAAGGTACCGTTGACTCGTTGACCCCACGGACTGCTCTAACGCTGCGGCCATGCGCGGTTGCGAGAGCACGACTTGTACAATGGCAAATTTGTACTAGGGCAAGCGTTCTACTCGCGGCGCGTGCTCCGCAGTGATGTCCAGTCCGCGCAGTCAACGAATCAACTATTGTATGAAACTTACAAGAGAGGAAGGTTATTCGAAGTGGCCTTTCTGTATAAGTTGAATACTGAAATGAAGAGTATGGAACGCTGATTTCAAATCTACCTTCCCTAGATCCTATCACTTCTGCGATCGCCTCAAAAGTTGAAACAAAACAAACAAACCGCCCCTCGATTGCGTTGGGCGGCTATGTTTACACTACAGGCCCACTACAGCAATCTGTTGGAACTAAAATGCTCCTCTCTTCATTCCTTACCCTTTTCAGATCGCGCCCATAGTTTCCTTTTCCAGGCTCTCCCAGCCTAGTAACCTGGTCCTGGAACCCATCCTTTCATGATCCGTGACCTGAGATTCCTCTCATGAACAAAACCGTAGGCAATTTGCTAGCTTTGATGTTTTGCCACAGAAGCCCAGAGTTCAGTGTTCTAGAAAAAGACGCGCAAAAGGCGGCATGAAGGCGCGAGTGGCATGCGCAGTGGTATCAAGAGGAAGAACGTTAAAGGCAGTGTCTCGGCAGGATTACGTTTCCAGTTGTTCACCTTTTCGGAGCCTTCTCGCCGTGAGGAATCCATATCTGGGCTTTTCAGCACGCAGCGAAAACGAGCTTTTTCGAAGCTTTCCAGGTCCGCATTCAGTGAAGATACGTCGGAAAACTTTCGTGCTCCCCCACTTACACGTATTCTCCATTGATTGCGGATCTGGAAAGCTTCGGAAAAAACTCATTTTCAGCATTTTCATGCGCTGGAAAGCCGGGCGAAAAGGCTCCAAAAAGGTGGAAACTGAAGCTGAAATTCTACTGAGACCCTGCCTTAAAGATCCACACCGTATGTCAATATTTCTACTCCCTCGACTTTTCACATCTACGCCTTAAAGGCAGCAGCTCGCCAAAACCGAACATCCCGCAATTTTGACGCGCAAGGTTGCTTGCACCCCAAATATGAGAACAGACAGGTCCGAGCGCACAGCATGCTGCTCTTGCCTAGAAAATTGCCCCTGAATCCGTTATATGCGCAACGACGAGCTTGCGATTCTCCCTGACCCGTCAAAGGCATGCCGCAGTATTATAACTGCGAGGGGCCCCGCAACGATTCTGCCACTATAACCATGGCGAGCCGTGCTCCACTCGTTCAGATTCAAAATGGAAAGCCTTGAGAAATGATGGTTTTTGCCGTTTTCGCGCTCTTCAGTTGGATTTTCGAAATCAGCGCCACGAATTACCCTAGGTAAGCAAGAAAACTTTGAGTCGAGAATCTGCCGAACCGCTGCCTTTAACTCCACTCCTCACCTTCCCCTCCCTCAAGTTTTTTTTTTTGCCAAAGTGCCCCAAATTCCTCCTTCGAAGCTTTTCTAGACAATTGCTGTACCCATTCTTCGCCTCAAATGTTTCTTTCAAACTGTGTCATTACTCCAAAACTTCGTTTAGGGGCTTGTCGGCCACAGTCTCCGTAGCTTTTTCTCGCCAAAATTCCCCTAAGTGACTGACATAATCCCACGGTTTCCAGTTCTCCCCCTCCCGCAACTCATTGCCACAAGGTTCTTCTGACTAGGAGCTGTCCACGGCCTCAAATAAACCTCAGCTTTTGCTTTCGAACCCTGGGACTTTTCCCTATTGTTCGATTTCCAAAGGCCTGTCATCTTTGCTTTGAAGTCATTTTTCTTGCCTCGAAAATGATGTAAACATTCCAAACTTGTGCTGATTACGTACTCCGACAGTGCTAACGAAGTATGTCGTATGTTTTTGATAAGGGTCAATGGAACACTGAGGTTTTTGAGAAGTCCTGATTTTCGAGCTATAATTCTTATCTACTGTAATTCAGCCGCATGAGATCCTACCAGAAACGTGCTCGGTAGTGTCGGATTAGACAACAAGCACAAATTTGGAATGCCTTCATTGATTTCAAAACAAGATAAATGAAATTGAAGAAAAGAGGATTGTGGTTAATCTCTGGGGCCATAAATAAGATATAACAAGGCTCAGGCAGTTCGTTTTGATTCGATACGTATGCAGAAAAGTGTAGTAGAAACATATAGAATGGAAGACAGCGTGGAATGTGAGATCTTGTGCGAGGCATGATGAATGATATACACTCTAGCAACACCATACATGTAACATCTTGTAGCGCGGAAGTAAGATAAATATGAAGCTAGAAAGAGAGACACACTCAAGACAAACAATAAGTAAAGATGAGCTATTGAAGCTTGCAAAAGAAGAAAAAAGTGCGAATATGAGGAGATTCTAGTAGGTATATAACGATACATTCATTTTCTTCTGTCCTGAGCATTAGAGACCCGTCATACTTCGTCGAAAAAAGCCCAAAAGCGCCCAAAAAGCGCGAAAGCGCTTGAAAAGGGCAAAAGCGCCCAGAAATGCCCAAAAGTGCCACAAAGAGCCCCCCTGAAACTTTTGGTAGAATTCTGACATCTGATCTTCTTTTTTCAGCTGTTAACCAAGACTGGTAAAACTTTTTATTAAGACCAACGTTTCGGCAGTTTCGCCTTCTTCGGGGTCTGAAAAAGTCGAGTGCTTAGAGAACATTCCGTCAGCTACCGCATCATGACCGAGAAACAAGCCTGACCTGTCAGTGAACCAAAAGAAATCAAATAACAAGTGCAGGCCAATGCTATCTAACCGTCAACAATGATCGAGGGTTTATTATGCCAAAAACTGACCAACGCTTTCATTTACAGATCTAGTGATCCGGTCTCGGCCTGCTGTTATGGCAG